CCCAGGCACCCCTTTATTGATTGAGTGAGTGAGTGTACGTGCATGTGTGCATGAGCCCAGGGGTGAGGGGCAGAGGAAGAGGGAAAGCGAGAACCTCAAGCAGGCCCCACACTCAGCACAGAGACAAATATGGGGCTCAATCTCACAACCTGAGTACCTGACCTGAGCCAAAATTAAGAGTCAGATCCTCAACCAACTGAGCCACCCAGGCACCCCATTGAGTCAAATGAATTTTGTGGTTTCCCAATGCACCTAAAAATTATGTTTACACTATTCTGTAGTCTAGTAAGTGTGTAATAGCATTATGCCTTAAAAAAAAAACAAAATACTTATCTTAGTTTAAAAAATACTTTATTGGGATCCCTGGGTGGCGCAGCGGTTTGGTGCCTGCCTTTGGCCCAGGGCGCGATCCTGGAGACCGGGATCGAGTCCCACGTCGGGCTCCCGGTGCATGGAGCCTGCTTCTCCCTCTGCCTATGTCTCTGCGCCCCTCTCTCTCTCTCCCTCTGTGACTATCATAAATAAATAAATAAATAAAATTTTAAAAAAAATAAATAAAAAATAAAAAATACTTTATTGCTGGGATCCCTGGGTGGTTCAGCAGTTGAGCATCTGCCCTCAGCTCAGGGCGTGATCCTGGAGTCCAGGGATCGAGTCCGACATCGGGCTCCCTGCATGGAGCCTGCTTCTCCCTCTGCCTGTGTCTCTGCCTCTCTCTCGCTGTGTGTGTCTCTCATGAATAAATAAATAAAACCTTAAAAAAGAAATTAAGTTATAAAAAAGAAAAACTTTATTGCTAAAGAATGCTAACCATCAAGTGAGCTTTCGGCAAAGTGTAATGTTTTTGCTGCTGGAGGGTCTCACCTTGATGTCAATGGCTGCTGACTGATAGGGTGGTGGTTGCTGAAAGCTGGGGTGACTGTGGCAGTTTCTTAAGACAAAATGAAGTTTGATGCATCAGATGACTTCCTTTCTGAACAATTTCTCTCTAGCATGTGATGCTATTGGATAGCATTTTACCCACAGTAGAACTCCCTTCAGAATTGGAGTCAGGCCTCTCAAATTCTGCTGCTGCTTTTATCAACTAAATCCATGACAAATTCTAAATCTTTTGTTGTCGTTTCAACAATCTTCACAGCATCTTCACCAGGAGTAGATTTTATCTCATGAAACCATTTTCTTGGGATGTCTGGGTGGCTCAGTGGTTGAGTGTCTGCCTTTGGCTCAGGGCGTGACCCCGGAGTCCCAGGATCCAGTCCCACATCAGGCTTCCTTGCTTGGAGCCTGCTTCTCCCTCTGCCTATCTCTCTGCCTCTCTCTCTCTCTCTCTCTCTCTCTCACACACACACACACACACACAAATAAATAAAATCTTAAAAAAAAAACCACTTTCTTCGCTCATTCATAAGAAGCAGCTCCTCATCTCTTCAGTTTGATCATGAAGCAATTCAGCATGCAGCAATTCAGTCCCACGTTCAGGCCCTCTTGTTGTTTCCACCACATCTGCAGTGACATCCTCCACTGAAGTCCTGAGCCCCTCAAAGTCATCGAGGGGCTTTGGTCTTTCTTGGTCAGCTTCTTCCAAATCCCTGTACTCCTTGATATTTTAACATCTTCTGACGAATCACAGACATTCTTAATGGCATCAAGAACAGTGAATCTCTTCCAAGAGGTTTTCAGTTTATTTTGCTCATCAGAGGAACCACTATCTCTCGCAGCTATTGCCTTATAAAATATATTTCTTAAATAATAAGCTTTGAAAGTTACAATGACTCCTTGATCCATGAGCTGCAGAATTGAATGGTACCAGTGGGCATGAAAACATGAATCTCAGGACGCCTGGGGGGCTCAGTGGTTGAGCATCTGCCTTTGGCTCAGGGCATGATCCCAGGGTCCTGGGATCAAGTCCCGCATAAGGCTCCCTGCCTGGAGCCTGCTTCTCCCTCTGCCTCTGTCTCTGCCTCTGTCTCTCTGTATCTCTTATGAATAAATAAAATCTTAAAAAAAAAGACATGAATCTCATCCATCTCCATCAGAGCTCTTAGGTGACCAGGTACATTGTCTGTGAACAGTATTTTGAAAGGAATATCTCTCTCTCTCTCTCTCTCTCTCTCTCCCCCCCCCCCTCTCTCTCTCTTTTTCCTGAGCAGTAGATCTCAGCCTGGAATTTGAAGTTGTGAAGTCAGGCATTGACTTATCACTAGCTATGAAAGTCCTAGATGGTGTGTCCTTCCAATAGAGAAGGAAAATCTATATTTTAAAATCTATTTGAAAATCTAATGCTTAAGTGTAGCTGCCTTCATGAATTATCTTAGCTAGATCGTCTGGGTAACTTGCTGCTGCTTCTACATTAGCACTTGCTGCTTCAGCTTGCACTTTTCTGTGCTGGAGATGGCTTCTTTTCTTAGACCTCATGAACCCACCTCTGCTAGCTTCCAACTTTTCTTCTGCAGCTTCCTCACCTCTCTCAGCCTTCACAGAATTGAAGAGCCAGGGCCTTGCTCTGGATCAGGCTTTGGCTTAAGGGAATGTTGTAGCTCGTTTGAACAGAAATTTTCTCCATATCAGCAACAAGACTGCTCTCTGATTGATCATGTGCTTACTAAAGTAGAACTTTTCATTTCTATCAAGTACTTTTTCTTTGCATTCACAAATGGCTAACTAGAGCAAGAGGCCTAGGTTTTAGTCCATCTCAGCTTTTAACATGCCTTCCTTACTAAGCTTGGTCATTTCTGACTTTTGATTTTTTTTTAAAGATTTTCATCTATTTATTTGAGAGAGAGAGAGAGCAAGAGAGGGCACAAGCAGGGGGCAGAGGGAGAGGGACAAGCAGACTCCCTCTCCAGGGAGGGAGTCCAACATGGGACTCGATCCCAGGACCCCAAGATCATGACCTGAGCCGAAGGCAGTTGATTAACCAACTAAGCCACCCAGGCACCCCTAGCTTTTGATTTAAAGTGAGAGACATGTAACTCTTCCTTTCACTTGAATACTTAGAGGCCAGTGTAGGGTTATTAATTGGCCTAATTTCTTTTCTTCCTTTTTTTTTTTTTAAGATTTATCTATTTATTCCAGAGTGAGGGGAGGAGCAAAGGGAGAGAGAATCCTTTTGTTTTTATTTTTTTTTATTTTTTTATAAATTTATTTTTTATTGGTGTTCAACTTGCCAACATACAAATAACACCCAGTGCTCATCCCCTCAAGTGCCCACCACAGTGCCCGTCACCCAGTCACCCCCACCCCCCGCCCACCTCCGCTTTTTTTTTTAATAAATTAATTTTTTTGGGTGTTCAATTTACCAACATACAGAATAACACCCAGTGCTCATCCCGTCAAGTGTCCCCCTCAGTGCCCGTCACCCATTCACCCCCACCCCCCGCCCTCCTCCCCCTCCACCACCCCTAGTTCATTTCCCAGAGTTAGAAGTCTTTGTGTTAGGGAGAGAGAATCCTAAGCAGACTCTCTACTGAGCTTAGAGGCCAACATGGGGCTCAATCCCACAACTCCAAGATTAGGACCCAAGCCAAAACCAAGAGTAGTATGCTTAACTGGCTATACCACACAGGCACCCCAATTGGCCTAATTTCAATATTGTTGTCTTAGGGAATAGAAAGACCCAAGGAGAGGAGTCAGACAGGAGAATAGCCAGTCAGTAGAGTAGTCAACGCACCCCTACTTTTAGGATTTATGGATTAAGTTTGCTGTCTTATATAGGTGCGGTTTGTGGTGCCCCACAGTAATTAATAATAGTAACATCAAACATCAGTGATCGCAGATCACCGTAACAAATATCAGAATAATGAAAGAGTTTGAAATGTTGACAGAATTACCAAATGTAACACAGAGGCATGAAGTGAGCAAATACTATTGGAAAACTGGTTCCAGGAGACTTGCTTGATGCAAAGTTGCCACAAACCTTCAATTTGTAAAAATGTAATATCTGCAAAATGCAATAGAGCAGAGCAGGATACAAGGAGGTGTGTCTATAAAGTGGTGGCCCCAATTTAAGGCCAAAATGAAAGTAGGGTGCAAAGCAAAGGAATAGTCCTCATCTTTCTCTCACCCAGACGGGTTTGATCAAAACAGCTTCCCCAAATCCATTTTGGACCAGGTTTCTTTTTTTATTTATTCATCAACTATTTGAGGCCCACCCTGTGCCAGGCCCTGTGGTCAGTGTTGGGGATGGAGCAGTGACCAAGGCAGACAGGAGAGCTGTGTGTGCCTTGCAGTCTCAGAGGGAATCACCTGGGCTGACAGGCTGCTTCCTGCCCTCCTTTTACTTCCTGGGTCCCTGCAGGGATGTCAGGGATGAGTGGTGGGGATTCCCTAATTCGGGCACATGACATGGCCTTGATGGGACTTTGACTCAGAGACTCAAATGCAGACTCTCCAGGCCTATCTGCAGAGTTCCTAGGCTTGGGATAAGCCTGGGCTCGGCCTGTGCCAAGAACCTCTGCCTGTTTCCTTGGCACATTAATGGAGTAGAAGTTTCTACCACTCTGTCTGCATCCCAAAGACACTGCATATGATAAGGCACGGGCTTGGGGTAAGAGCCACTTGCCCACAACTTGCTAAGTTCACCACCTCATCCATACCTCCATGTGTTTACAAGGCTGAGGCATATATCCTGCTATTGTTGCCCCCTTCCTGACCCTCTGGGGTGGACCTCCTCTCCTGAAAAACCTCTTTACTCCCTCCTCCTGATGTGAACCACTTCCCTGTTGCCTTTTCAAGCTAGCAAAACACCTGTGAGTGCGTCAGCTGCAGGGGGCATGGCATTCAGGCACAGGGTGGGCCAAGTGATTTTTGATGGATGGAGAAACTGAGGCACAGTGGGATCAACTAGCTACTGCTTGACAGGGCCACCCAGGTCTTACCTGTCTTAGCCCCCCATTTGGTCTACCACTCAGCAAGAAGGCGAGTTATCTGCCCCTGAATCACCTCCATCCTCCCTGATCTTGGCCATCAGCATAATTTGAAAGAACACAGCGTGTGAAATCTTAAGGAAACAAGATTTATGTTTTATTTCCACAAAGAAACTCAACAGTAGGAAACTTCTTCTGAAGTATTGTCACAGTGACTTCAGGTCACAACACAGAGTAGGTGAGGAAAGTGGCAGATTCGTCCAATGAGGTTGCTGACAAGGAGATACCACAGCGCCGTTGGAAGAAACGACGGACAGACAGACCAGGTCCCCAACCTGGAAAAAGCAGGTGTCGGCACCGAGACCAAGCCTGACGCAGGGAGAGAGCTGGGGGCGGGGCGCGGTTGGCCTCCTTCACCACTGACGTTGGTCGGGGCCTCGGTCGTGATCGGAAATAATTTTCTAGAAGAAAAAAGAGCAAATGGTAGAAGATGGCTACTCGTGACTGTTGAACCCGGGGGTCCTTTCTTCCAGCCTCTGCGCTCCCACAGTTTCTTGGGGGGGGGATGCTTCACCTGCACATCCCCTCACTCTTGCACCTCCGTAAGACAGACTTTGCCCCTCTGCCAAGTTAATCCATCACCCTTTCCCCATTGGAGACTCACTCTTCCTGCCCCTGAGCCTTTCTCTGCAGCTCCCCAGACCCGACTGTCGCGCCCCCCCCACCCCCGCCTCTCCCCAGCTGTCCCTGCACGACCAGCCTCTGGCCGGCCTTCCCTCAGCATCAGCGGGTACTTCACATGTGTCCTCGGTCATTTCCTTGTGAGTCTTGCTCCACGTGGGGGTCCCCTCCTCGATGCCTTTAGAGCATCCGCCCAAAGCAAAGCAAATGCCGAGATCCCAGGCCTGCCCCTGGGGTGGCCGTGCGGGGCCCCTGGATCAGGCTGGCGCAGCTCCCTCTGACACTCACCTACCAGAACTTCACCCACTGCAGCAGGCCAGGCCGCACCCGGGAAGCCTGCAGGACGAGGAGAATGGCTGAGTGGCCGTGGCCCTGGCCCCCCGCACACCTCTGGCCTCACACCCCTTCTCCCAGGAGCCACGGGTTCCCTGCCCCACTACTCACCGAGGAGGAAGGTGTGACTCCCCCCTGTAAAGAGAGATCAGACGAGGTGATGTGGGGCCACAGAGGCATCTGCCACGTGCTCGGGGCCCAGGAAGGGCCCAGTGGCCCGGGCAGCTCAGACCAAGACTATCTCAAGGGTCCTTGAGTCTGATGGTGGACTTTCAGCCCCTAGACTTTCTTTCGAAGTAGATTTATCACCCTAAGTACGTTGTACCCAAGAAGAGCACACACTGACCCAGCAGAGTGAAAAGAAGGTAGGTAGGTAGGTAGGTGTCCCTCTGCCTGCTGGGTGGATAGAAATCGGCCCCAAATATGGGCGAGTGGACACCCATGGGCGGCCTTGACTGCTTCTTCACCTGCTTCCAGTCAGTGAGTGGCTCCTGAGCTCTCGGTAGAAGCCCCGAGGGCCAGGGCTCCCTGGTTCTGAGAGATGGAGGGAAAGAGCACCTGCTTTTTCTTCACCGGCCTCATTAGCATTTAGCACATTCACTTACTGGATTTATAAGATTGCTTTCTTTGCAACTGAACGCAATAAAGTTCTCAGGGTTTTGGTTGTTCTTTCTTTTTTCTGTTAATTTCCTTTGTGGAGCGAAGCATTAATTTTCCCAGCAACACAAGCTGGTGGGAAAAGCCTCCCCTAACTCGCGTGTCCTCCTCTCACTCTCCCCCCCTCCCACGAAAGTTCACAGCAGTCAAGGAGGCGGAGAGAGCAGACACGATGAGGGAAGGCTGCCTGTTGTGCTGTGTGTCATGTGAGGGTTTTTTAGAGTCATATGTCCCTATTTGAGAGGATGCTGGTTCCCATTTTTCTCCAGGGCGTGCGATGCAGCCGCTGCCCCCCTGTAACTTTTTCTGAGTGGGTGGGAGTGAGGAACCTTGGACCTTCCACCTCCACTCCAAACAGCTCTCAGGGAGCCCGAGTCTCCCTCCCCAGGGGCAGAGAGATGAGACTTTGACTTTCGAAATGAGCAGGATTCAGGCTCAGCTAAGACTGGCCATGAAAGCCTCCCTCCCTCGCCCCCATGCAGAGACCCCAGTGGGGAAACCGGGCATTAGGGAGTCTTACCTTAGAGGGGATCTTGGCTGAGTACTGCCCGCCAGCGGGAGTAGGGTATGCCTGCTGGTTATAGGGGTTCTGTGGAAGGAAGCGGAGGGGCGGGCAGGTAGGAGAGAAGGGATGAGGGCATTTTGGTGGAATAAGCACCCGCCTCCCGGCCTGGGCCAGACCTCTCTCCCAGCCCCCGGCCTTCCCTCCGTGTGTCATGCATTGTTTTCCCATAGAATCTTCAGGCAGCCAGAGCCCATGGCCTCACCTCCCTCATGGTCCTAGTCCGCACGGCCCTGCCTCCCCCTTCCCCGGCACCTCTCCCAGCTCCTCAAGGGTTACTTGGGGGATGAGGGCAGGAGACCAGGAGACCAGTGAGGTTTGAGTCAGGTGCTCAGGTGGCAGATGTCATACCTTGGAAGTCACGGCTGCCACCTCCTGCCATCCTGTGCCAGACTGAGAAAACGACAGAAAGGGGGGTGTGCAGGAGAGAGAATGTCAGATGGGCCAGCCCGAGAACAAGACCGAGAGGGCCTGGGCCCGGCCCTCGGAGGCAGCCTGAGGGCAGAGACTCACCTGACCGGCACCGCCCGACCTCTTCTGGAGCGAAGTCGCATCAGCCCCCTGGAAGGGAGAGGGCCGCGGTGAGGGTGTCCTTGCCCGAGGTCTTCTGGGCCCCTCCCACACTCGTGGGGCTCGCGCCACCTGCCACCTAGGCTCTGCCCGCCCGTGGGAGCACCAGCACCCACGCACCCCGCCGCACCCCGCTCTGCGGCCCAGGACCAGCACTGCCTCCAGAGAAGGCAGCGAGCCTGGAGGACACTGATGACCCGACAGATACAGGACAGATTTCCACACTCAGTGTCGGGAGCGAGGCAGCCCCCCGGTGCACCTGCAGCGAGGCCGTGGCCTGGGACTGGGCAGGAACGGCAAGTGGTACCCACACAGGCTCCCTTGGCGCCCATCCGGCCCTCAGCCCCAACCCACCTTCCGCCAGCACAGAACCCTGCTCCTCCCTGGCCCCACAATCCCTGTTCTCAAACACTGTTCCCGCAGGGTTCCTGGAAGGAGGGCTGTTGTCCTCAGCAAACAGAGGCAAAGTGAGGTGATTAGATTGGCTCGCGGCCCACGGAGAGAGAGAGAAGGGGGAGAAATACAGGCAAGCCCTCGAAGCCACGCGAGCCGCAGCACAGGTGCATGGGCCATCTCCCCTCCACGGGCAGGGCCAGGGGTAGCTTCCCAGCAGCAGGGGAGAAGTTTAGTTGCTGCAACCACCACTTCTCCACTCAGGACTCCCACCTCTACACACACACACACACACACACACGGGTAGGATGTTCCTCCTAACTCTGACTTCACTCCCATTGAACCGTAGCCCCACTCTTAGCCTAACACTGAGGTCACAAGCTGCTTGACCACTGGCCTCCAGACATTTTTTGTTTGGTCTGCACTTTTACATTAGTTACGAACAATTAAAAATCAGCTTTCCATCAGATGACATGGCCACATCGGTCATTCATGAGTGCGTGACAAAATGCATCTGATCTGAGGCCCTGACCTCCACCCTTGTTGCCCGCTCACCCCCCTCCCCGGCAACCGTCCAGCCTCACATGCCTGGCCCACATGCATGAGTGAGTGGGCAGCCTTGGCCTCTGTGCCCAAAGGCCAATGGCCATGCAGACTCTAGATGTGGCCTTCTGCAGGACCCAGAGGTCCTGCCCATCCTTCCCAGAACCCGGATATTCCGACCTGCTGCACCTGCTCACACTTGACCATGGCCTGACCTGCTCCCCTAAGGCCTCTAGTTTCCTTTCAGCTGTCCTCCCTGACACCCCTTTTCCAGTCCTGAGAGAGGCCCCCGGCTCAGGCCCCACCACCTGCTCACCCCGCAGTACCCACCCAGCTGTGGCTCCCCCTGAGCCAGGACACCCCCAGCAGGAGCAGCAACAGAGCGGAGATGGTGGTTGGCTTCATGTTCCTGTGCCTCTGGAGGCCCCAGCCCTCGGCCTCAGCTTTTATCCCAGGGGGGACCGCCCACCCTACACCTTCTCCAGTGACTCACAGCTCCTCTCCCTACCCCACCCCCACTCAGTTGCAGAAAGGGAGGAGAGTGGGAAGGGAGGGAGGTGCCCTCCCTCAGTGGGGAAAGTCAGCAACAGGGACTGAAGCTGCCGCCCCGTGCCAAGAGCCCAGACCCTCCCGTCCCTGGATCTGAGCTTCCTAACCCCAAAACAAGAGGTTCTGCTACCCTTACCTCAATAATTTCTTTCCAGTTCAGGAAAGGGGTGTTGTGTTTGAAGTCCTGGAGGGAGGAGAAGAGGTGAGTGGGCCTCAGTGGGGAGTGTGGCAGCTTGTTGGAAAGTTTCACGCTCATGTGCAAGAGTGGGTTTGGGCGCCTGGGTGTGGTTTGGGTTTAGATGAAGATAAGCATACCGGAGGTTGAGGGTGTTAGCACTTCGGATGGCATTCGGGTGAGATTGCCCATCTCAAAAATGAAAAGAGGGCGGATTTTGTGACAGGTGGGCTGGAGCTTGAGGGAGGTGGGGAGAGGGACAGATGACCAGGATCCCTAGTTCTCTGAAAAGTGAGAGTTCTCCTACCTCCCAGAGCCGGCTGAAGTAGAGCAGGGCGCGTGTGCTGGGGCGTGGGACTTGGCCCTGCGGAGGAAAGGTAGGGTGCAGGTGAGCTGGGAGCCCGGCCCCTTGCTCACCTATGCCCCTATTCCCGCCACCACCATCGCTCAGCCTTCAGAATTTAATTGTGGCTAAGGTCTGGGGGGAAGCTGGGTGACTTTTAGGGACACCAGAAAACTCCGTCTGGCAGCAGAGGGAGAGAGAGGCTACATCTCTGGAGCTACTAACCAGGCCCCCGCCCCCAGCACAGGTACCCCACTCTTCAGTCTCCCTGCTTCCCCAGCCTCTGGCAGAAGGCCACTGCGGTGAAACCTTAGGGACCAGGACCTGCCCTCAGAGCTTCCCGCCTTTTTACCTGCCCTTCCAGCCCCAGCCCATTTCCCGAAGCCATGGGGCTGCAGTTGGCCCTTCCAACCCCCCTGAAGCAACAGTGGAGTCTTAAGAAAGGAGCAGAGACCAGGAGTGTGGGGCAGCTAAGGTTTATTTCAAGGGTAAGGGTTGCAATTAGCGGTGGATAATGGGGTTTTAAGAAGGGGTGGGAGGGGGGCTCCCATCCATCTGGTAGCTCCTTGTCTGAAGGTCACGGGGTGCGAAAGCTCCTCTGGTCCTGGGCAAAGAAGTAAGTTCTAAGAAGGAGCTCAAGGAATAAGAGTTCAGGGCTTAATGGGCCAAGCAGGGGTGGATCAGGCCTCTCTGCTCCTGAAACCTGCAGGGATCTTTTTTGCCCACGGCTGTCATCCAGTCAAATCCAGATATTCCAGTTTGCAATGGAACACCTCATACTTGGCAGGAACTGTTCCGTATCGGCCCCTGTTGGCACTGCTCCCTCTGGCCCCAGTGTTCAGCTCCCTCCCTGTGAAGGACATGGGCTCCCCCTCTTCTCTGGCCCTCCTCCTAGAGCTGCTCCCGGGGAACTGCCCCCAGTGAATCCTAACTGTGAGCGCCCCCTCCACTGCCCCCCTAGGTGTGCAGGAATGTCTGCTGCCTTCCTGGCCCCTGGGGAAGCATCAGTCTGTGCCTCTGACCCTAAGTGCCTCGTACTCAGGGGACTCGTCTCCCCGCGGTCCTCGGCAAGGAGCCTCACCCCTGCCAGACACCCGTTCTCTATAAAACAGAAACAGTTTATTTTCATCATTTTCATCCAAACCTGAGTGGAGCACAGCTGGGAACTTCTGCCTCCAGCATCTCACCCTCTCCCACCTCACTCCCCAAGGCGCAGACTTGGCCTTGCCTGAGCATGGGGCTCTCTCTCCGCCTCCCTGCGGACCACCGCCTTGTTTCCCCCAAGAATTTTAGAGGGCAGGGCTCCTTGCCGCCCTTCTTTTGTGCAAAGGGTCAGAAACTGAGCTACTCGGGGTCACTGCGGTGGGCAGCGGGCATGTGGCTGCTGGAGAGAAGCAGCGCCGTTCAGCTCTTGCCCGCTGGAGCTTGAGCAGAGAGGGCCCAGTGTTGCCACATTTTTCAAGAGACTGGAATTTCAAGTCATTCTGTAAAAGCTCTCAGTTTTTAAAATCTGGCAGCTAATTCATAGTGTTCAAAACAAAACAAAACAAAAACAATGAATGAAACAAAGCACAGCAGTGGTCTGCCAGTTGCAACGTCTGCCTTTGGTGGGTGCTGGGATTGTGGGTCCGCCTCTACTCTGGAGGTGCCTCTGCTATTTGGGTGTCAAATCAGCCTGGCCAGGGGTTCCCCTGAATGTGGGAGGGGTGGGCAGGAGGAAGAAGAAGGGGGGTTCTGGGCTCTAAGTGCCTCCTAAGATGACGCACACCCAGGGCCCAGAAAGTCTGGCACCCAGCAGGCGCTGAGTACCTAGTCACTTCCCTTCCCTTCTTTCCTGGCATCAGTCCTCCTGGGCTCTTGAGTTCCCCCTGACTGTTCAGTGCATCCCCTACCCTGCCTCTGCTACCTCTGTGGTGTCCTAAGGATGAGGCTTCCTCACTCTCCCCTTAACCTTCCAGATCTCAAAGGAGAAACTGAGGCTGACACCTGCTCAGTCTGCACATTGAGACACAAAAGAGGCCCATTCCTTTCTCATCCCCGACTCCTGGCCCTTTCCAAACTCCCACCTCCTTCTCGCTCTGCCCCCTACTTCTTTATTTTTGTCTCTTTTTTTTTTTTTTTTTTTTGTGCACTGGACAAAACACTCCCGGTACCATCATCATTTCCCTAGCTTCCCACGTGGGGGTTAGCAGGTAGCTTCTTCTCCATTTCCCTCTCCCATGAAGATCGGAATGGCACGACCTTCCAGCCCTTACCTTGTTTATGGCATCCCAGTTAATGAAACCCAGCTTGGATTTAAAATTCTGCAGAGAGGAAAAAAAAATGGAAAATGACAAATTGAGTTGTAAAGTAATTAGTTCAGGGCCTTGGGGCAAGAGGTCAAGGGCCACCACTGGTGGTCGGTCCTTCTGGAAAGAGGACTTCAGCCTGCGGGGCAGAGGAACAGAGGTTTGCTTTTCCAAAACAAAGTGAGCGGAGCAATCTTGCCAAACTCACCTTCCAGAAAGTGTCGAAGTTGAAGAGCCCAGCAGATGTCTGAGAGTTCTAAGGAACCAAAGAGAAATGAGATGAGAGTAGGAACCCACCCCGTGAGCAAGAGGCGGAGGCAGGAGCTCTGGGAGTCAGGCGGGGAGGCAGGGATCGCTTGACATGGTCCCGGCCCAAGGTGGGGTGATGCCTCCACTCACCAAGGTATTGATCCCACTGACAGCTTCACCTCCTCCACTGGACCCGTGCCACTGGGTAGGAAGGTGGGGGACTGATGTTCAAGGCCTGTGCCTGTCACCCTGCTCCTGGCCCACCGTCTCTGCCTTTGCTCAAGCTCTGTGTACTCTGTGTAAAGCCGGCCTGCTCTCCTTTTCACACAGCAGCTAGGAACCCCACCTTCCCCGAATGATTTGCCACCTGTTTCTAGAGTGACCCTGTCCAGTCCCTTGAATCTTCTTCTTATTCTGCTCCCCATCCCGTCACCTGTCCCCCAAAACACTGCTAGGAGCTAATGTGTAGTCCCACCGTGCACCTGGCCTGGTGCCTTATCCTGCCACATTCCTGGGTGGAGACGTCTCTACTTTACAGGTGAGGAAAGCAAACTGAGAGCCGTCCAGCAGCGTGCCTCAGGATCTGTCTCCTTGTCGGACTCCAGCGTCCGGATCCTGAACCACCCGGGCTGGTTATGATGCGGAAAGCTCTGCAGTAACTGGGGGGTTACGCAGGTTAGGTTTTGCCGTCCCCGTCTTACCCAGGAGGAGGCCCAGGCTTAGAAGATCGACTGCCCTGCCTGAAGATGCTCAGATGACAGATGAGACAGCTGTCCTCTGAACCCCCGCCTTCTAACTCAGAGGTCACTGCTTTCCACTTGTCAACCCTTCTTAAGTATGGTTTCCAAAAATAGCCCCCTGACCGTTCTCCTGTTACTTTTGGCTATGTTTCCCCTCGCAGTGATAATACACAATGATGATCACAGTTTGAAGAAGGGAGGTAAAAAAAAAAAATGAAGAAGGGAGAGAATGGATGAACCAAGGAGACAGGGATCCCAGACCCCTGTCTTAGTCTGGTCACTCGACACAGAGTCGGAGCAGCTTGCGAAAAGATACTGAAGTTCCTGTTTCTTTTCCACACCCCTCAGTGTTCTCCTAAAGCCATCCCTGCTCACCTGAGAATTGTCTTGGGGGCCCCCAACGAGGTGACCACCCTCTTTGCTTATTTCCTGCAGAGAGAGAAAATGAAGAGTCAGTGGGGAAGCGGGGAATATGAAGGATGAGAGAGCAGGCCAGCAGGATGTGGGCAGGAGGCTCCTGAATCGGGGCTGAGGCAGGCACACAGCAAGGATTCCCCAGGGCCCCAGGGAGGCTCTTCTCCCCGGGTAGCCCCATCTCCCTTGGCAAACCTTGCTTCAGCTTCCTGTGGGTTGGGTTGCTGCTCACTTACGATCCTCATTGGCAGCATAACCATCTCTTTCTATTCACTTCTGCAAACTGCCCAAAACCCAACAGGAACGGCCTTTGCCACCAAAGTGAATTGTCCCCTGGTGCTGAGGCAGACAAAATTGGACTAAATTGATTCGAATTGCAAGACGCAATCTGGGTGGATGTGTTGCATTGGTCAGAAAGGTGACACTGGCTGGAGAGTCAGTGAAGTAGCCTGGTTCGCCTCCTCCTAAGTTAGAGGCAGGCGCCTCTTGAGTCCCACTTGCCCAGGACTGAGATGACTTCCCCGAGCTAAGATCAAAACCGGCCTGCGATGCGGGACTGTGTGCTCTGTTAGCGTTGCTACTGCAAAGTTGACTTCCATCCCATCTCCCGCCACCAGCCTCTACTCTCAAGGCCTGTCGTCTCCTTACCCTGATGTCACCAGAGCTGCCAGGACCTCCCTGTCCTCCTCCGAAGCCCTGAGGGATGAGACAGTGCAACAGAGATCATTGTTTTAGATCTTAGGTCCATCCCTGCACATCTATGTATTGGCTTAATACAATTCCTTGAAAACTCCTTGTGGAACTCTCTTTTGGAACTGGTCAAAATAATCTTGGAGTTCATGTAAAAGAATGAATGTTTAAGAATTGGTAAGAAAACACTGGAGAAGACGGGCAACAAAGGAGGACTGTACTGGCAGCTGTTAATGTGCCATAAAGAAAGTAGCATCACAGAACAGATGAGTCACCTTAACAAAATAGAACTCCCAGAAACTCTCCCAAAATATGAAGGCATTTACAAGTGACAGTTTACATCAGTGGTGTGAATAATTCAATGCATGTGTCTGGGAACACCAGTTAAGTATTTGGGGGTGCGGGGAGCACTTCGTTAAACTTTGCTGATTCTCCCCGCCCCCTTCCCACCTTCTCTTTTTATCCGGTTTTCCCTTCATAAGAAAGCACACTGCTCTGATCCAAGGTGTGGGGTAAGTCGAGCTGAACTGCGGAATGGGACTGGATTGAATACAGGAAAGTCAAGTCCAGATAGATTAAAGAGTTAAATAGGAAAAAAAATGAAATTATAGAAGTCTTCATAGTTCTAGAAGGAAAGAGCAGAAGCCATAGAAGAGACTAGTGTATTTGACTACATATTGAAGACTTTGGTACATAAAAAACTAGAAATAGACTCACAAGCTGGGAATTTTCCTGACACCTGTCTACCCATAGAGGTTAGGATCCCTAACATCCGAGGAGCCTAATATTCAGGGAGCCTTCTCCCCACGGCGGCGCTCACACCAGCACGCATCAGCCTTGCCCAGAACCTGGTGGAAACGAGAATCTCAGCCCCACCCCGCATCTGCTGACTCAGAAGCTGCATTTTCACAAGACCTCTAGGTGCTTCGTGGGGACCATAGCGTGACATTTCCTCTTGTCAGTGCTGCAGGGGCTGACAGAAAGCCCAGACTTCCAGAATAACTAGGAGGGAAGCACGCACTTTCCAAACCCAGTTTCCAGATGTCAAAGAGGCCACTGCATTCTGCTCACTGGCCAGGTGGGTGCAGGTCATTTGCAATGATTGTTTCCAAAAGGGCTGGTTTCTATGTGATTTTTCACAGCCCCGCCCACCGTACAAAGTGAGGCACATCACACAAGGGTTTGCACTTAATTATTACTTTGGAGATTGTTAATATTTGTAGGGGTAAGCGGTTGGTTTCTTCCCCCACAAAAGGGGGCGGCGATGGAGGTTAGCCTTAGAGGTGGGCGCAGTCCCAAGTTTGGCTCTCACCTGACCCCCAGATCCTCCGGATATGCGGACATCATTCCCTGGGCTGTCACACTGTGGGAGAGAGAGGGACAGCTTTCCCTCTGTTGCCACCCAGATGGCAATCCCAGCCCCCACGTTGCAGCCCCAAGGCTACCCCCCAGCCGCCCCACCTCAACCCCATTCTCAGCTCTGACCATCGCTCTCCCAGCTCCCCCCTCATCCAAGAGGCCTCAGCACCCCTAATTCCCCCTCCCCTCCAGAGACAGGAGGCAGATCCGTGCAGGTGTGCGCTCAGCAGACACTCACCCCGGGTTTATTTCCACTGCCACTTCCGCCACCACTTCCGCTGCTACTGCTCCCCCAGGAAGAGCCGGTATTGTGTCCCTGCGGGTATTGTGTCCCTGCGACGGAGAGCAAGAGTCCACAGAGGCTCTTAAAAGGACTCGACGGGGACCAAATAGTTGCCAGGGCCTTAGCGATCTATTTTGCTCCCCTCTGCCCAACCTCCCTCTCTTCCCATCTTTAGCCACTAGCCACCGGCCACTGCGGGAAGTTATTCGGAGCACAAAGGACAGGTGTGGCCAAGTGTATTTGGAAATGTGGGACAGTTTGGGGATTCTGAGCTGTGGGCTTCCCCCCCCCCACATGCCAGAAGTGAAAAACCTCGGGAGCCTAACTTCTCCAGAGCCTTGACCCCGGCCACCTGAGGACCCGTTCTGTCCTCCCCCTCCCGCTCCTCACCCCTCCCTCTTCTGGAACCTAGACAGAGGAAGGGACCCCAAGAGTCCTTACCTGGGAGCCTGAGTAGCCGCTCTGATCAAAATTCCTAGAATTTTCTAAGGGACGGTCCTGGATTGGGGGAGAAAGCAGGTAGTATGGGGAGCGATCAGTTAAAGCCACTTATGTGGCCTGCCTTGTCCTCTTGCTTCCCTCTTCTTGCCTGAGCCCTTTCCCAGACCCTTCCCGGGTACCCAAGGGCCGCCCGAGGCTGGCTGCCAGGCCGTGGTCCCCTCCTGGCCCCTCAGCCCTAGAGGGGCCTCGTGTGCCCTGTATTCATCAGCGTCGCCTGCACCCCAGCTCTGTACGTGTCTCTGTCTCCGCATGGGTGACAGGCCTCCCCCTGCAGCCCCCAGGTCTCCTGGGAGCTCCCCAAGCAGCATCCTGTTCCCTCTGCCACCCCCGGCTCTAGTGGGCTCTGCCAACAGGAATCCTGGGTTAGACGGAGGTGGAGCGGCCGAGCATTACTCACCCAGCTGGGCCCGTAACTGCTGCCACCGCTGCCACCGCTGCTGCTGCCACTGCTGCTGCTGCCACCGCCGCTGCTACTGCCACCACCGCTGCTACTGCCACCGCCGCTGCTGCTGCCACCGCCGCTGCTGCCGCCACTGCCGCTGCTACCACCGCCACTGCTGCCGCCACTGCTGCTGCTGCCACCGCCGCTGCTGCCACCACTGCCACCGCCACTGCCTCCCTGAGGGGCAGGAAGGGACCAGAGTGAAGATTGACCGCCTCCCCCCTCTCCTCCCTCTCTTGCTGGGGCCGGTTCCCTGCGCCCAGTGCCTCCGCCCGCCCATCCTCTTACCCCGGAGTGGCCAGAGCTGCCTCCCGAGCCGGATGGTGGGGGGTTAGTGCACTGCGGAGGGAAGTTTCCAGGGACAGGTGAGTCTCCAGGCTTCCGTGGAAGCCGTCGCCACAGGCCGGGCCCTCCGGCTTCCTGCGGCCTGGCCCCCTTTGCCCAGGTGTCTCTCCCCACGCCTGTCCCTCTCCTCTCCCCCGTCCGGCCTCCCTGTGCAATCTGCCTGGTACCTCAACCCCCATCCTCCATCCTCTCCTCCTCGTCTGTCCTACTCTCTGTCCCACACACCCAGCACCCGGACGGCCTCTCCCCCAGACTCTCCCCCCCCTTACCTCCGAATGCGAGTTGCTGCCTCTCACTGAGCCGTACCCAGGCTGGACCACAGGCCCCTGCAGAGAGGAGGCTGGTGTGGGTCCCCCTGATGAGGGACACATTGGGGGGGGTCTTGAAGAGCAAGAGGGGGGCAAGCATCAGGGCCCAGGTGGTTGCTGTACCTGAGCGTTGGTCCCCGAGGGGAAAGAGCCTCCTTGGCCCCAGGAGCCTCCCTGAGGGTGGTTTCCAAAGCTGCCATCTGAGCCTCCAGGATATCCCTGGCCCCAGGGGGTCCCTGGACCTCCAGGATTGCCCTGGCCGTGGCCTCCAGAGCCACCCTGGGAGCCAAAGATGCCGTGGCCTCCAGATGGAGGCTGGCCGTTGGTTCCCTGCAAGAACAACATGCCCACCCTGAGTGTGGGTGACCTTCCCCATCTGGGACCGGGAGGGCAGGCACAGCAGGACGAAGGCAGGGAGAGGGGCCCCAGCGTGATGGAGGCGGATGCACCGTGGTGTGGAGGGAAGCCAGCCCGGATAGCGGCACGTAGGAGGCCAAGCCATCCTCGCAGTGATTGCCAAGGTTCTCACCCCGACTGCCCACCGCCGCGCACCTCCTCGCCCGGAGCTACTCACCCAAGCACCGTCGCTGCCGGGCACCCCCTGCCAGGAGCCGTGGACAGCATCGGCCCCATGTCGAATGACGTTCTCCACCTGTCTGCCAGCCTCACCCCCGGTGTTTCCAAGGGCACGGGCCGCTTCCCCGATGCCATGGCCCACGGCGTCCCGGGCTGCAGGGCCGGCCGCCTCTCCAGCCCCTTGGCCGGCAGCCTCTTCGACTCCTTGGCTAATGGCATTTCCACCCCTGTCCGAGGCATCCCACCCCGTGTCCCAGGGCCTCCCCAGCACCCACTCCGGCGCTCTCCCCTCCTCTCAGCAGTGGGCCAGCCTCCCCACTGCCCAGGCACAGGGCCAGCAGGAGGCAGGCCAGGGAGCCCCTTGACTTCATCTCTGCCTCACTCCTCTCCCTCCTGTCTTCTTCCCACCCGAGTTTTCTTCTCTTTGCCCTTCCACCTCCTCCGTGTCTGTGTGCCCTCCTCTGTTCTCTTCTTCCTGACTTACTCTCCTTCTCTCTGAGTCCGCAGCCTTCTCTCTCCTTTCCCAGACTCCCCTGCCTTCCCAGGGCCCTCCTCCCTGCCGCTACTCCTTATACTGTGGCCTGGGAGAAGGTGACACGGCTGGGCGGCCCAGAGTCCCTCCCTCGTGACTCAGGACCAGCCACCGATAGGGTAATGAGCCATAATTGTGAGTCTGAGAGTCTGTGTTGAAACAGAGAGGGAGCCGGAGCACTGGGGAGGAAGAAACGGGATGAGGCAGGTGCAAAAGTGTTCCGATTTCCCAACCCCAGGAATTTGGGGCGCAGGGTGGAGATGGGGGCATCTGAGGAGATAGGTGCTTGGTGTCTCCTAGAGGTAGTGGTGTGGAGAGGACTTAGGAGAAAGGAACCACAGGCAGGACCCAACCCAACCAGGAGGCAAGCGGAGAGAATCCAGTGCAGCAGGACCTCCCCCCCACCCCCGCCAGGTGTAAGCCAGCCTGGGCCAGGCGCACCGGGATGAGAAGCAGGTGCCCTTTTTGACCTTGCTCTCTCAGTTTTGGTGGCCTTTGTCTCTCCCATCTTTCTTCCCTCCTATTCGCCACCTAAAGGTGACTGTCCTCACACTCTCCCACACCTTCCAGCCCAGAGTCTGGGAGCTGTGAGCTTGCCCTCAGTGGGAACCCCAGGTACCAAGGAAGTGGCCAGCCCGAGAGTGGTCATCAGGGCGTCTCAGCGCTCGGGCTGCTCTTGGCTGAGAAAGCTGGGTGCGGAGCATGGAGCTGGGCGGGCCAGCCACCCCCAGGGGATGAGTGGGAGGGAGCAGCTGACCCAGGCACCCATCCTGTTTACCTGGCCCACAGGGGCACGTGTGTGAGCTCAGAGCCTCCTGAGAGGACTGGGGCTGCTGCTCACCCCACCCATCCCCAGGCTCCCCAGGGCCCAGGCTACACAGGCAGGGGACCGACTTGAGCCCCCACCCACCCCCGCCTCACCTCCCCCCAGGGCCCTGGGTCAGTAGCATGCCCCCCCCAATCCCAGCTCAGGTCACAGAGCTCAGGCATCTTCCCGGCCTCACCCCTGTCCAGCACGGGGTTGCTTCTCTGCTCCCAGGGCCCCGGGGCCTTGTATCACTGGGACTCATCACCTAGTTAGGAGGGGCCGGTTTCCATCCGCCTTTCTCAATGTTCTGTAAGTCTCTCTCCACCCCAGCACCCGCACCCCAGCTTGTAACATCCAACACCTCTCGCTGCGTAAACACCATCCCTGTCTGTCCTGGGCACCTCCTACCTCCCTGTTATTCCACCTCTTTTTAATGACAATGATAATGGTGGTAGTGGTAATAATCATCATAATCGTCCCTGCAGCTCCAGTTTATCAAGGGCTCTGTGTGCCCAGCGCTGGACTAAGCACTTCAAGGCTCACACAGTCCCTGGGAGATAGTCGTCTCATTGCCCCGTTTCAAGACAGAGAAGCTGGAGCTCGGACGGGAATGGCCAAGCCCAGGCCTGCCCCACTCCCATGGCCCACTCCCAGCGCTTTCTGTAGTCATCGGTCTCAGACCTCCTCCTGCTTGTCCAAACCTTCATTCTTCTCTGGATGGAATTGGCTGTGGTTTTGCCCTGGGCCCTTGTGGCGGGTGGGGGCAGGGGTCAGGAGTACATCTGAGGCCTCCGGATTGCTGGTGGGCCCCCCAGCCCCTGAGCCTGGTGCTTCCACTTCCCGGGGCAGGACCAGGGGGCTGGAGGTAGAGCACTTGGTGACTCAGAGACTCCTTCCCACGCTTCCCTCGCGGGACAGCACCTTCGCCATGGTGTGTAGCTGCCTCTGACCCACCTCTATTACTAATACTTTTCTTTAAGCCAGCTTACTTCCTTAAGTTTATTTTATGTTGCTACTGCAAGTGGAAAGCCGGGATCACTTGCCCCTAAATAGAAAGTGCCAGGAAACATAGCGAAGAAGCACACAGTGACGTTACATTATAGCTGGCTGCAGCTCCTGTGGTCAAAAGGGAGGTTAGCAAGTATGAGGGAGGTGTTCAGGGCACACGAGCACAGAAACGGAGTCTTATTCTCTAACATAATCAGAAAGCTTCAGAGAAAACTGAGAAAAGGGCATGGCTCTTGCGGCGTGGTTCAGACGTATTCAAAGCCGCGTTCCTGGGCCCGGACCCCCCATGCACGCCCATGTTCTACCTCCTGGGGGAACTACCCTCAGACATCTCTGGACCCAGAGGTCACCTCGCGTGGTCTGAAGGCACATATATGAAATACCTGCTGTGAACCAAATAGAAGACTAAGTGCTTCCACGTGCGGGATCTCATTGAATCCTTACCACAACCCGGGGGGCGGGGGGGGAGCAGACGTTCCCATTTTGCAGGTGAGGTGACTGAGGCCCAGGGCTGGTAAACACACACATAAGAGCATATTTGAAAACGATCGTGGTAAAGTGGTGCCGTCGGAATTTGACCCAGGTCTGTCTGACCCCAAATAACTTTTTCTCCTACGTCCCCATCCCTCCTTTGGCATCCACAAATCTGACATGCCCGACCTCATGTCCAAGACCCTCTGATTTCAGCTTTTCTAAGTCACTACCTCATTCACTCCGTAAGGGTTTATTGGGTACCTACTGTGTGGCACACCTGTTCTAGGCGCGGGGGATAGAGCGTGGAAGAGGATCGCCTGAATCGCTCTCCTTAGGGAGCTCACAGTCATTGTGAGGAGGATGCACAACGAGCGTCTCAGGTGGTGGGCACTAAGGAGGAAGAATAGTGGGAGGTAAGGGACTAGAGAAGACGGAGTATCTTAAATACGGTCATCAGGAAAGGCTCTTTGAGATGTGACCTATGAACTGACACCCAGAGGAAGTGAGAGAGTGAGCCATGAGGATGTCTGGGGATAGAGGATCCCAAGTGGAGGGACGGCAGTGCAAAGGCCCTGGGGCAGGAACCTCCTTACTCTATTTAAAGGACCATTGTGGCTGGAGCGGGGGCGGAGGGGGGGAGAGTTGGAGTCAAAGACAAACCAGCCCAGATGGGGGGACTTGGGGACTTGGGCCATTGTGAGGACTTTATCTCTTACTCTGAATGAGGTAGAACCAGTGGAGGGTTTTGACTGAGGAGGCCTATGGTCTGACTCAGCATTAACAGGGTCCCTCTGATGGACAGGCCGGGGGAATAGGGGGCAGGAGGTAGGTACAGAGACCAGGAAGGAGGCTTCGTGGGAGTCAGGGGGATGGAGGCTGGACTCAAGCAGAGGAGGAGATGAGGCCTTGGGTCTGGGTGGTGTCTCCGCTCCCCTGCGTGGTGTCCTGGGCCTCGGACTGGCATCTGCTGGCTCACTTGTGTGCAGTATCTATCGTGGAGCCGGGCTTCAAGCCCTAACTGCACCCCTTACTAGCTGGGAACTTGACCCACCTGAGCAGCACCTTCCTTGTCTGTAAGAGGCAGGAATGCCAGGGTGAAGCGAGGTAATCCTCGCCAGGCACCCAGGGCAGTGGCTGGCACCCAGGAGCGCGCCCTCGGTGTTCCTGCTAGTGTTGGCCATGTTGATGTCGGGGTATCTCCTTGGCAGTTTAATTTTGAAAAACACAACACAGACACACACACACACACACACACACACACACACACACCTCCTGAACGCAGACACTTCATTTTTAAAGAGGACTTGCTTGGAAGTAGCCCCCTCCCCTCCCCGAAGGTCCCAGGGAAGCAGGCCACCTCGCCAGCAGAGACCAGCAGCAAGGAAGTGCTCTTGACCAGGAGCCAGGTCTTCGCCACTTACTAGCTGGGTGGCCTCAGGGGGACAGTCACGCTACCTGCCTCACAGGGAGCTCGGGGAGCTAGAGATGACGGAGAACGAATCATGCCTGTCAGCGCTCAGCACCCAGTAACGAGGGTCCCGCCTGAACTACCCTCCCCTCTCCTCCACATCACGTTTGCACAACCCGGCCCCTCCTCTCCTCACCCCCAGCCTGCCTCCACCTGTCCATCTCAGGTGCCTGGTTCTGGCTCCCACCTACTCCATGGCCAAAAGGGAAACCAAGTCTGCTCAAGGCAGTGGCCTGCCCTCTGTTAGCTGCCGGCCATTCGTGCCTGGCCTCCACCTCTCCTCTGGAACATGTTAGTCTAGGGGGACAATGGACATTGAACGAGCAAATATATCATCGCACCTGTCCTAAGCACTGTGAAGAGACAAGATCAGCGTGCCAGGACAGAGGATGGGAAAGGCAGCCCTTTGGGCGGGTTGTGCGGTCAAGTAGCGGGCCCCTGCAGGGTGAGGAGGAGCCAACGCAGGGGGCCAGAGGGACACAAGGATGTTCCTAGCAGAGGGAGGGGACAGCAGGCCCCAAGGCAGAAGTGAGCCATGCCTCTTTACCCTTTAAAACCGGCTCAGTTCTTTCCAAGAAGCCTCCCAGGATTGACCCCACACACACACACAGGCACGCAGGATTATCCCATATGTCTCCAGCACTTTCGGGACCCCCATCCAAGTAAACCCAGCAAGAAAATGTGCGGTACAGATGAAATCAGGGAGAGCCTTCGCTGTGGGAAAGAATGATCCCCTCGCATATGCCCTTTCCAGAAGGGCCTCCTCCCACTTGTAGGACACGAGCTCCAGCACAGAGTAGTAGGCCCTCAGTAAATGTGGGGTCTGAAGGAGTGCTTCTTGTTTATTAAAATGCAGGAAACGGACGAGCACAATTTACTTTGAGAGGCACCCAAAACGTGTTGACGCGTGGCTACGTGGATAGACGGTGACAGATGGATGGGTGTGCGACAAAGCAAGGAGAGCAGCGCGTTAGCGGCAGACCGTGAGTGGGGGCTCCGCAGGCATCGGCTATAAAATTCTTTCACCTTTATGGTGCATTTGAAATCTTTTCAAATTAAAAATATTGTAGGGGAAGGGAAGGACCATATGTCACAAAAATGATGGTGTTCTACAAATCAGGAAAAATGCAGTGAACGCGAAGCGTCGGGAACGTCCCTGTTACCGTGCACGTGCAGCCCCTGCCCCTCCTGGTGGTGCCTACTTCTTGTCGATGCATCTGATTCATCGCTTTGTATTTACTTTCCTGGGAACCCCGCAAGGGCAATTTTTGTTCCCACCGGTGATGGAATTTTGGTGCTGGGAGCCGTGTTTGTCGTCCTCCCCTGCAGACAACCCTCCTCCCCATCTGTAGTAGGAAATCGTGGCCCCTAGAAGGAAAGGAAGCTGCCCACAGGCCCATGGTCCTAATAGGCGTGCACGTGCCCCAGCACCCAGCACCCAGGCCAGTGCTCGGCAGGCATTCTAGAGACTTTTTAGGCAACTGTGAAAGGTCCGGTTCTGGCGGCGGACGGCCAAGGCGCTGGCCCCTCTGAGCCTCCGTTGTCCTCATCCATGCAATGGGGATCCCAAGAGGGCTTCTGCCTTTTGGGCTGTGAGAGGCTTAAATGGTTTTGGCTCTTCCCACAGCCCTGGGAGCTAGCTAGTGCTCAGTGAGCAGGAGCTGCACCATGCACCTGAAAACCGGGCCTTCTGTGTCCCCCGGTGCCACCGTTGTAAAGAGGCCCGGCCTCCGGGTGTCCGTGTGCCTCCCCGCTGCACCTTTGGTGCTCGTCCCCCGTGCCAGGATCTCCCACATGCATCTCTTCCGTCTCCCCCATGCGCGATTCCCCACGACTTGATGCCAAACAGAAAAAAAATCTGTATTTTCAGAATATGCTTTGTGAGCTCTCAAGCCGTTTCCCCTCCACTTCCTGACTATGTGACCTTGGTCGTGTTTCTTAACCTGCGACAGCCTCCACGTGCCTCTCCGTAAAAAGGAGCAATACCAGAGCCTCTTACCTAACTGGGGGGTTGGGAGGATTCGGTGATGTCATGCGTGGAAGGCACCCAGCAGGGAGCCCAGCATTGCACAATAAATACAGGTTATCATTGTTATTCCTTTGGTGCCACACCCCCCACAGGAGGATGCTCCCCACCACCTCCGGCCTTGGGCTCCACCTAGGTTCCCACCATTCTCTTCCCTGGTGCTTCTACCCCCACTGCTGGCCTGAAGGGGCCTTCTCTGCACAGATGCTCCTCTTAATGCCGAGCACGCACAGATTTTGCACAGTAGCGAAGCGTGGCTTGTCCCTGCGAGCGCCCTCTTGTATCTGGCCCTACTGACCTGGACTCTCCAGCTCGGCCCCCCTGTGCACCAGCCCCCAATTCCCTTGGCAAAATAGCAAGAAAAGAGAAGCCTCCCCCCACCAGCCCTTCCTCGGGGAGCAGAGTGGACCATGATGAGAGTATATAAGGCGGCGTATTTATTCACAAATCCCAGTACAGCCCCCTTACGGACTCAGGAAGTCTGTCCCCCCACCCCCAGGTCCCCCAGGTCATTTCAGCCAGTATGACAACAGGAATGTCAGTCTGCTGAGTGAGGCCAGTGCATCAGTTTAGAGAATGATGTTGGCGATGCTCTGGAAGAGAGGAGAAAGGGAATGAATGCAGGAACACAGCCCTGAGGGGATCAAGACCTCTGCCCTCCGGCCCCCTAGAGAAATGAGGGGGACATTGGTATTAGCTTCCCAGGCCTAGGAGTAGCTTATGTTCCGGGCAACGTCTTCAGGAAGGTGGTTCCTGGGTTCAGGAAGAACAGGGAGCCAGCCCTCCCAGGCAGGGGTGCCAGGGGCTGTGTGAGAGCCCAGGGCCTTGTCATTTTGCCTCAGGGGGTCCCCTGGCATCCCCACAGCCCAGAAATAAATGAGGCTGTGCCTTTGGGTTCTGGACCCAACCACAGGGCTGTTCCCCACCCTCATCCTTTTGCCTCAGTCTCAAGCAGCTAACATGCTAAATGCAGAGAGAAATGCAAAGCTAGGACTTTGTTTTGGGCCCAGAGTAGGGGCCAGGGTGCCACAGGAGCCTTCACACCGGGGTGGGGGTGGGTGGGAGGGGGTGGTCCTGTCAGCCAGGGAAAGGACAGAGCTGCAGCTTCCCACTCCCCAGCACACTGCTGTGAGGCAGCAGAGGGACTCACAGTGAGAGGAGGGAGGGAGAGAGGAAGGGGATGGAGGGGAATGATGAGAAGCAGTGAGCACACGGAGGGGGCGGCTTCAGCAGCCTCCCTCGACGCCCCCCCATCCATGGGGTCGTATTGCCAGCTTGCATTTGCTTCCAAGGAAATGGAAAGCAGCCAGAAGAGGAGAGCGGGGGATGAGGGACAAAGAGCAGAGGAAGAAAGGGAAGGCCGAGCTGGGAGACAGGTCTGATGGTTTCTGCGAGGCTGAGTCTGTCCACAGAGGGAAGGGGGCGTGAGAACATCTCCCAAGACAGTGGACACGGGTTGACCGGCCGCGGGCACTCACCTGCCACAGAGTTGGGAAGCTGATGAAAGGCCTGTTGACCGAAGCCTGGAATTCGAGCACAAGAGGGTTGGTCACCAGCAGGTGCCCCACCGCCATCCCAGGAGGGCCCCCTCCCTCCCCACCCCAGGCCCCCGCGCTGGGGTGACTTACTCCAGATGTTAACGTGGTGGTTGCGCCCCCTCCGTGCTGGTGCTGGCCGGTGGAAACTCCTGGATGAGTGCCCTGTGGACCAAGCCCAGACTGTCATTACAACCCCTCGGCCCTTGGGGGGTCTCCCAAGTTCCTCTATCCCCGGTGACCTGTTGCCCTCTAGGGTGACTGGGGCCCGGACTGACGGGAGGCATAGGCTAGCCTCCTCCCCCCCTCATTGTCCGGAAAGAAAACCCAACGCCCATGTCACTGCGGGAATTCTGTGAGATGGGAAGAAGAGCCTGGAAGGATGTCTGGTCCTACTGACTAGTCTTCCCTCCCCCAGTTCCCTTTTATTTCAGTTAATGAAATGCCCTCCGTTGCTGAGAAAAGCCTGACTGGAAACTGGAAAGGGGACCCCGAGGATCCATGCAAATCCTAGGACCACAGTCACCTCAGCCCCGACCCCAGCTCTGCCCTCTGTACACCCTCCCGCCTGACCCCTAACTTCAGTTGATCCCTGTCCTCGTTTTACCCCCCGAAACTCAGCTGTGCGTCTGCTGCTGCTGTGGCCAGCTTTGCATCCTGGAACAGCCCTCCCTCTCCTGACCTCTTCCAGTGAAGACTGCCATCTACGCAGCGCCCATTCGTCTACCGTGCACACTGTCCGCAGGGTCCCTTCCTCCCCACCCCCAGCCCTGGGTCCCTGCCTGGCCGCCCATGTAGCTATCGGCTTCCAGGTCTGGGCCGGTCCTCAAGACTCCTCGTGGAGACTGGAGAGGGGGAACTGAGGCAGGCAGGGGTCAGCCTTCTCCTATTCCCCAAGTGCCCCCCTGATGCCTGTCCCGCTATGAATGGCACCCCTTGCCTCCCCCGGGCCTCCAGTATTTGTTCCCTCAGCAGAAATGCTCCCCTTCCAGAAATCCTCCAGGAGATCTCCCCAACGGGGCGGGGGCAGGGAAGAGAAAGAACCCTTGTGTGCTAGCCACCTGCCCCTAGCAAATCCCCTTAAAACCTCACTTGAGCTTCTATTTCCTTATCTAAGAATCAGGGAGTCAGCATCCTCACCCTGACTACCTCAGAGGCTTGTTATGAAAATTAAACAGAATAGGGCTTATCTCTCCAAGCCATTCCTCACGCTTACTCTGATGCTCGGGGTTCTCTCAACACTCACTCCGTTTGCACTGCACGGGATCTTGACTCGGTAACTCTCTCCTCTTCCCCAGGAGAGACCCCATGTTCGTCTCCTTACACCCCCTGACTAGGACGGCAGCTCTCTGAAGGTGGGGCTGGGTCCCTTTCACACTGTCTGATACAGGGCTCGGCGGACAAGATGGTTTGATCCATCTGACCAGCTGAGCCCCAGCTCCTTTGTAGGGAGATGAAGAGGAAGAAAGGGAACACGATCATAGAGCTCCCTGAGCTTCTTTGACTGAATGAAGGCTACATGGGCTACCCCAATGTCCCAAGGGCTTAGCCTCTCCCTCCCCCGGCCCCTTCTTCCCATTTCCCCACCCCTGTTCACCTACATTCAGCAGCTGGTTGGCCTCCTTGCCGGCTTGGTTGACCCCATTATGAACATTCTGCGGCAACCTGTCCACCTCCTTCCCGGCCTGGCCAGCAGCATGGTGAACACCTTGGCCAAGTTTCTCCGCCTCCTTTCCAGCCTGGCCAGCAGCGTGGTGGACCCCTTGGCCAAATTTCTCTGCCTCCTTCCCGGCCTGGTTGACCCCATCGTGGACCCCTTGGACCACTTTGTCTGCCTCCTTTCCAGCCTGTTCAACGGCATGGTGAACTCCCTGGCCAAAGTGCTCCACCTCCTGCCCAGCCTGGTTGACCCCAGGATAGATCCCTTGGACTATTTTGTCTCCCTCTTTCCCAGCCTGCCCAGCAGCATGGTGGACCCCCTGACCAAACTTCTCCACCTCCTTCCCAGCCTGGTTAACTCCATGATGGACCCCCTGGCCAAACTTCTCTGCCTCCTTCCCAGCCTGGTCAACCCCATGGTGGAGTCCCTGACCAAACTTCTCCACCTCCTTTCCAGCCTGGTTAACTCCATGATGGACCCCCTGGCCAAACTTCTCTGCCTCTTTCCCAGCCTGGTCAACCCCATGGTGGACTCCTTGGATTATCTTGTCTCCCTCTTTCCCAGCCTGCCCAGCAGCATAGTGGACCCCCTGACCAAACTTCTCTGCCTCCTTCCCAGCCTGGTTAACCCCATGGTGGACCCCCTGACCAAACTTCTCTGCCTCCTTCCCAGCCTGGTTAACCCCATGGTGGACCCCCTGACCAAACTTCTCTGCCTCCTTCCCAGCCTGGTTAACCCCATGATGGACCCCATGGCCAAATTTCTCTGCCTCACTCCCAGCCTGGTTAACCCCATGGTGGACCCCCTGGCCAAACTTCTCTGCCTCCTTTCCAGCCTGGTTAACCCCATGATGGACCCCGTGGCCAAACTTCTCTGCCTCATTCCCAGCCTGGTTAACCCCATGGTGGACCCCCTGACCAAACTTCTCTGCCTCCTTCCCAGCCTGGTTAACCCCATGGTGGACCCCCTGACCAAACTTCTCTGCCTCCTTCCCAGCCTGGTTAACCCCATGGTGGACCCCCTGACCAAACTTCTCCGCCTCCTTCCCAGCCTGGTTGACCCCATGATGGACCCCATGGCCAAACTTCTCTGCCTCGCTCCCAGCCTGGTTAACCCCATGGTGGACCCCCTGACCAAACTTCTCCGCCTCCTTCCCAGCCTGGCTGACCCCATGATGGACCCCTTGAATCACTTTGTCTGCCTCCTTCCCAACCTGTCCAGCAGCGTTGTTGACCCCATGGACAAACTTCTCAGCTTCCTTTCCTGCTTGTCCGATGCCACTGTTGATCTCATGGGCTACCTTGTCCAAGCCGCTGTTGAGCCCCTGGACGCCTTTGTCCAGTTCCTTGCCGGCCTGGCTCCCCATGTGGCTAAGTCCATTAAAAACTTTCTCCACTTCCCTTCCAGCGTGAGTGATTCCATTATTGATGCCTTCCAGGGCCTTGCCCACCTCTCTCTCTGCATTGGTCAGCCCTCGGTTGATTCCTTCAATGACCTTCTCAATGGGGTCATCATTGGCCGCCCATCCAGGAAGGGCCCCCAATAGCAGTAGGAGGGAGCAGGAGCTGACCACACTGGCAAGGTGCATGTTGTTGGCAGGTTGGGGAGGATGCAGAGAGGAGCCAGGGAAGCAAAGCTGCTATTTATACTCTCCTTCCCTCCCTCTTCTCCACCCCTCATGACTCAATTACCCCTGTGAGGCATTGACTTGGTCCCCAGTCAGGGAGGTATTTCCCAGGGAGCTTTGAGTTGAGCAATGAAGAGGAGGAGGAAGAGAAGGTGAGTCATGAGTGGAGAACACTCACGTGGCATCTTTGCTCCTTGCCCAGCTCAGTTCCTCCACCCCAAAGCCCAGATGTCTGCCCTTCCAACCACCTCCTTTTTTCATTCCTCACCCATTATCCAGGCCTCCTCTCTCCCAACCCCACCAGTCACCCCCATCCCCAGGACCCAGGGCTGGTTCTTCACTCCTCTCAGGGGATGAAAGGATCCTGTTTCCCCAGCAGCAAGAATCTGGGAAGATGGGAGGTACAGTCAACGGGGAGGAGTACACCCTTGGAGAGTTGAGAGAGTCATCAGACCTTGCTCTTTCTGTTCTTGTTGACAACCCCCCATCCCAACTCTTACCACATCCCAGCCCCACAGGTCTCCCCAGCCCACAGACACACCAGGCTCATCCCTGCCTCATGGCCTTTGCACTTGCTGTCCTCTCTGCCTGGAAGGCAGAACTCACATCTTCACGTGGTGGGTTCTTTCTCGTTCTGTTCTTGGTTCAAATGTCACTTCAAAAAAACCTTCCCTGGCCATCCCTCAGTTATCCTGGGTGATATCATCCTTTTGTTTTTATAAGCACGTACCACGATCCAAAATTATCTTTTATATTGTCTGCCTCACCTATCAGATTGTAAACTTCCAGAGGACAGGGCTTTTGTGTTGGTCACTGCTATATCCTTAATTTTTAGAACATTGCCTGGGGTTCAGTAAATATTTATTTATTTATTGAACAAATGGGTGGATTAAAAGAAGCACTCCCAAAAGGTATGTGATGTAAGTACACATAGCATGCTTGCTAAGGGAAGCCAAGGGACGAGAGGTCAAGGCCGAGCCTGAGTCTCAGATGTTGATGGAGAGAAGGGTGCCTGGGTCCCCAGAGTAGTGGGGGGCCCCTCGGGGAGGGTTACAGACTTTGGAGCCAGGGTGCATTCTCATAACAGAACCTTGGCCGCCTTCTTCCCAGCCCTTGGGCAAGGGCAGAGGACCGATTGCCATGAGCTGGGACAGGACGCAGTGTCTCCTGAAAAGCCGGTTGAGGCAGCCACGGGGAGGGGCCGAGGACCTGGGGCAGCAGGAGACTGTCAGCAAGGACCTGGGCTGGAAGCCAGGAGCTCATCCTTCCCTCCCTCTTCCTCCTGGGGCCTCCTCAGTGCTGACCTGAAGCCCTGAGTGTTGACATGGTGGCACGGGTTGGAGGGGGATGGCGGGAGCCTGCCCTGGGCGGGAAGAGGCCATGAGAAGGGAGGGCAGGCGTGGCCGGGAGGTCTGAGGCAGCACAGCCATGCGGGGCTAGTGCAGAGGCAGGCAGAGACCAGAAGAGCAAGAGCCCGTGGGTGTTAGGTAAGTTGGGTGCAGGGGTGAGAGATATTTGGGTTTTGGTGCCAAGGGGAGAGACGGAGAGGGGGTGGAGGTGGGATCACTGGTGGGAAGGCTGGCGGGAAGGAATGTGTAGGGTGTGAGCAAGTGGGGGTGCAGAGTTATGTGCGTGGGTGCCCAGGTGTGGTGAGAATCGCACGTGTTTTCAGGCTTTGCTCAAATGAGAGCGAGCAGGCCCACTTCCCTCGGAGACCCCACGCTTCCCCCCGGGTCCTGGACACCCAGGCCAGAGACCCGGGAGCCTCTGTCATTCCTAGACACTGCCTATAGAGGGTGACTAAGCATGCCACCTCTCCAAGCTGGGGCTCATTAAATCTGTTTTCCTGTCTCATGCTCCAGGGACAAAGTCAAATCCCTGGGCAACCTCAGGTGTGGCTCCCCTGGCCTCGTCCAGCACCTAAATGAGGGAGTTGCCCCTGCCAGGAGATTGCAGGGTGGGGAGGGGTGGGCCGTGAGCTGCAGACTCCAAATCCACCCGAGATTGGGGGGGGGTGGTTCTCCTCCCGAAAGGCTCTGCCCACCGCTCTCTCTGCCATCCCACCATCTCCCTCAGCCCCATCTCTGTCCATCCCATGCCCACTGGCCACTATTTGATTCGGGACTTTGGCATCTGTCCCCAGGAGAGACTGGCCTGGAGTTGTCCTTCCGTGGCTGTTCCGCTGGTTTGGGTAATGCGAGCCTGCTGCTTTCCCACAGGGAGGGAGCGGGGGAGGTTTCCAGGGCCCAGGGTCGAGGCCGCCCTGAGCGCACTCCCAGGAAGTGTGCTGGCCAGTGGGCAGGGGCTCAAGCACCGAGCTGCCACCGAGCTGCCACCGGGCTGCCACCCGGCTTCCCCACTCGCGTTAGGACCTGCACCAGCTCCTGCAGGCTGGCAAACACCTGCCCCCGATGCTTTGGCAGATCTTGCCCATAAAGTCATCCAGACCTGAATCAGCCTCGGGGAGGATAGAACTTAACTCCGGTTCTTCTCTTGTTGGCCTACTCGGATTTGCCATTTCTTTTGCACCAGTGTGGATCCTTTATATTTTCTAAGAAAATTTTCAATTGCGTCTAGCTTTTCCTGTTCTTGTAAAGCTGTACAAAACCAACCCCTTCCAGTCCTGGCTTTCTTCGTGTGACCTTCCACACCCCGCATCCCCTCCCCCATCATATGTGTTAAGTTTGTCCCCCCCTCTTTGTTTCCTTAATACCTGCATTTTGGTCTTGGGTCATTGAAATTCCCCATCGGTATACCCGATTTCTTTTCAGTTCCACCTCTCCGGGCCACCCAAGCAGGAGAGCCTCACCCTCGCCTGTCCCATTGCAGGTGCTTGGCAAACTGAGTTCCCATGAAGGCTTGGGGAAGGAAGAGGTTATGTCATTGTGCCCCTTCTTGCTTTACACCTCTATCTGGGATGACGACTCCTTCCCGGCCCAAACCCCTCCACCCCGTAACTCTTGGTCACAGCTGTGTGTCAGCCAGCCCTGCTGGTGAAGGTGCCTGTGAATCACAGATGTGCAAATGAGCCCCCACCCTCAGCGCGTTAAAAGGAGGCATCTGTCCTGTTGGTCCCCCCAAGCTGCTGTGTGCCAGTCACTGTTCTAGGCAGCAGCGGAGGCCCCATGGTGAACAGCGACACAGCAAGTAGATCAATAACTAGATCATGACAAACTACATGAGAAGAACGGGGTGCACTGAGGGGATCTGGCCTGGAGGTCACTTAAATTCAAGATTGGGAATCCGAAGAAATGGGAAGAGGCGATATTGATGTGTTTGTTCTGGCACTGATTGAGCGAGCACCCTGTAGGTCCCAAACCTTCTTCTAGTCAATGGGATAGAAAAGCGAAGGGACACGAGCTCTCAGCCACTCTGCAGCATACGGTGTGGTGGGCACAGACAACTGGCAAGAAAACGAGTGAACAGGATGGCTTTTTAGAGAGAGACAGATGCTGTGAGGCAAATAAAAATGTAGAGCGGTAGTAGCTTTGCACATTGGAGCGCCTAACCCAGGAAGGGAAGTCAGAGGAGGCTTCCTGGGAGGGGAGTAGATGGAGGGGTGAGGGCCCCAGCGACAGTGACTGAGGGAGGAGAGCACTTTACAGGGCGTTAGGAGGGTCCCTCTGAAAGGGTGGCACCTGAGGGAAACCAGGAGGCGATGAGCAAGGACAGGGCAGGGCTTTCCGGGCCAGAGGAAGCAGCTAGGGTAGCTAACCACCACCGGGGGGGGGGGGGGGGGGGGGCAGAGGGGTCAAGGGGCAGCACAGGCAGGGCGCCCAGGGAGAAGGCGGGGACAGGAGAGGGCTTTGAGGACCAGGGTAAAAAGCTGGATTCTATGCTAGACGCCAGTGGTGGCCTCGGGACGCTGGGGCAAGGCATGCGGACGTCACGCGCTTCGCCACCCCTCTGTGACATCACCCACCGGGCACTGTGACGTCGCGGCGAGAAGCTCGCGCCACTAGCCCAGGGCACCGGGCGCCGCAGTGTAACATCGTAACATCGCGGCGGGTACCCGGGCGGCTAGGCCATGAAACCTTAGGCCATGTCGAAACGCGACATCGTCCTCACCAATGTCACCGTTGTCCAGCTGCTGCGACAGCCGTGCCCTGGTGAGGGAGGCGGCGGGGCCACCCCGGAAAGGGGAGGCAGGGCGGTGGGTCGCCCCTGCCGCGCGCGTGCACGAGGGAGGGGGCGGGAGGCGGCCGCGGCGCCCCCCTCCGCCCCTCCCCCTGCCCCTCCTCCCTGCCCCTGTCTGTCCCCGGGCCTTGGCGGACCGAGGCAAGGGGAGGGGGGACAGGCTCCTCTTGGGCGCCGGCCTGCGCTCCCCGCAGCCTCCCAACCCCTGGGGAGGCCGGTGTGTTCACTGTCCCCACTCGCCGCGGCCACCGAGAGAGCGCAAGCCGCTGCCCTGGGACTCAGCGCCGAGGAGCCACCGAGCCCCCCCACCCCCCACCCCCGGGCGGCCCCACCGCATCCAGCCCGAGGGGCGCACACGCCCCAGCCCGTGAACCCAGGCCGAGGCCACGCCGCATTCCCTCGCGCCCCCGCACTGGCCGCGGGCCGGGTGGGCGGGACGCCAGGGTCGGGGGCGGTGGGAGGGCCCCCCAGGAAGCAGGTTCTCTGCTGCGGGCTGCGAACCTCCTCCCTGCCCGGCACCGCTCTGTGACCTCGGGCCTCGGTTTCCCCTCCGCAAGGTGGATTTATAGCACATGCCTTACAGCCCTGGCCCCCGGGGAGCCCGGGCAGCGCCTAGCCTAGCCGGTGGCTGCGCCCAGGAAATGGGAGCGGCTGCCTAGTTAGGAGAGCGCGCCGGGCCCTTGTTTCACCCACCAGGTGATGCTTCATCACTGAAGCTCCTTCAGGCTCTTCCTTCCCAGTGCAGCAGCTTTCCTCCAGCCAGCGCACCCCACCCCTGGACGAGGCGTGGGGAGCCTGGGGGAAGGTGGGAGAGGAGAACCAGCTGTTTTCTTTTGAAAGGTCGTGGGGTGGGCTCAGATTC